AGTGCCAGATTGTTCTAGACTTGTATTAACCTGGAATGGCGCTACGGACATTGGAAGGGAGTAGGGGGGGATGGTCCACGACCTGCCGTCAGCGCTATAATTGCCTACAATTTTTGAAAGAAGAAGAGCTCCGATGCCGGTAAACCACCTCGCGCATTCTAACTTTCCACCAGTATTAATTATCTCACCCACTTCGGAGCTCTATCCTTTCCCTCGAAAATTGACGCTTTTACAGAGCTGACGCAAAATTGCGGCAAGAGAAGCCATGGAGAGGAAATAAATGGAAAAAACTGATGGAATGTGGGGAATGTAAGAAAAAATATTCCGGTGGTCTGATATATCCATCAATAGGCTTTCGGTAAAACACCGAAGAGCGACTGGCCGAATAGTCTGCAACCGTACAGTTCTAAGCTAATCAGGGCATTCAGAAAAGACGGGCAGCTCAAGAAACAAGGCATACAAATGACTCACTCAATCCGACTACCTGATTAGAGAACTTTCACACTTCCGCACTTTCCAAAAAATAGGCGCCATGTGCCTAGGGGGCTCTCAAGCGCGCCTAGGTCACCTCATGTTCTGACGCGACAAAACCATGTCTTTGCTGGCTAGGAGAGTATGTTCGTGTATGACATATACTCTAGTTCGCTGCGGACGGTTGGGCGTGTCAGGCAGTATGAGTGTGTCACCCGTCAAAGCCGTTCTCTGCCTTCTTGTTGAAGCGCGCATGCGACAAAAAGTGGTAGAAAACGAGTAATACGAACGATATGATACAGTCATATCACTTGCTCGCTTTAACAACTGGTGGAGAACGGGTTTGGCACCGCGCCAAACTCATCCCGCCTGACACGCCCAACCGTCCGCAGCGAACTACACTATATCCTGACGTTGACCAAATGTAATGGAACATGCTCTGCCTCGGGGAGAGGGTCCAGACATGATGTGTGCTATAGTGGTCCTTCTCTAGACGCTAATAACGCCAAGAACTGAACGAGAACGTGCAGATTAGAAAGGCACACCTTTTCAATGTTGAATTCCTCTTCCGCTTTTGCATCAATTTCCTCAGCCTTTTCATTGGCCTCCTGCTCAATGAAAGCCATCATGTGGCGCAGCTGCTTCTGCACATCATTATCGGAGATACCCATGTTGACAGAATGCAAGGTTCGACCCTGAAAACAACCATCACTTAACTGTGAGAACGGCAACACATATGACCGAATTTTGTCGCTAATAAAAGCTACAAACAACAGTAAACACTATACAAGGCGAGACGAAAGGTTTGCAGGGCTAAAGTTCTAAACGAAACACTCCACGCCGAGAAAGGAATACGCTCAAAACGATGGAATTCTTTGCGGCTTTGGATTGAACTATGCGCTGAAAAACAGATGAAGAATTGATGGGTGAGCTTAACCCACTAAAATAGATGATGTTTAGATCAATAACAGCACAACTACTGAAAGTACAGAACACTGCGAAACCGAAAAGAAGAAATATTGACGAAACGTACGACCAACATCGACCCGGCCTCGGTGTTTTTGCGGCCGTGCAATCGTGCGGCGGGACCGACAATGCACAACCAAGACGCACCAGGAACGCGAGAATTGCAATGGGTTGTAGAGACAACGCGACAATTGCATGGGTTGTAAAGAGTTGACGTCGCTAAGGCTTGGAAATGTACGGGTTTCGAGGGATAGTTTCCACACCCAGACCTTCTAATGTCTCCCTAGGACGTGTTATCGCAGTTTCATTACTTCTGGTAGCTAGATTTCGACGGTTTGGGTGAAGAGTCATTCTGAGAAATTCTCGACATTGACTAGGGGGGCGGGCATCTGTCTCACGACTTTTTTTTTTTTCGTATTTCCATCCTTGTTAGTGCGAACTGTGCGCACGACCCCCCTGTGGCTTCAGTAGATGCTAGACCTGGATGCCGGGAGTTGTCTGAATAATAAAATTGCAGTGCTGCAAATCTGCTGGTCCCTGTAATCTAGTGCATGGCCAAAATGGGGAGCTGTTTGGCTTGGTAGGGCATTTTGCACATGCGCTAGTTCATTCCGCTACTTCAAGCTAACTATTAATTGTCCGGAAAGTTCTCAGCGTTTTGGGTGTTTCACTTTAAACGATCGTAATTTTTTAATACTCATCGGATTTAATCGAAATAGGCACCATTCGAATCAGCACACTTTTGCCAATGTGACAGCAGTCGAGAAATCCCATCAAAGTAAAAAACTGGGTGGTCGAAAATTCCACCATGACATTCAGGAGCGCTTTTTTGCTCGGTCCGTGATTGCATGAAGTAATTTCCAACAGCAAGGGAGTTCTGAAAATGGTTAGAAAAGGTGGATAGTCCCCGATCATTAGCGAAAGGTCTGCAAGAACAAGGCGGTTGAAGTAGAAACTTCACCCAAATTGCTTCATTCTATGGATAGTGATTTGTGAAAGTGTGGGCGGCGTGGTCAAAATCCCAGATGCAAAGGCAATCGGGACCCTTTCTTTTGATAAGTGTTGGCTCATATGACAAAATTTTCGGTACAATTCGTCGATTTCTTCACAGTAGGGTTCTGCTGTGATGGTTTGGCCTGGTGATAAAAAGTTATAGTGGATCACACCAGCCGATGACCACCAAACCGTGACCAGAATTTTTTTTCGTGAGGGTTCGGCTTTGAAAATTACCTCGGTGGTTCGTCGAAATCCAACCACTGTCCGGAACGTCTCCTGTTATCATACATGACCCATTTTTCATCACAGGTGACAATTCGGCCCAAAAACAGGTCGTTTCTGCTGCAAAAGCAATGCAGAAGGAACCTCGAGACGTGCCGATTCCTGCCGGTCACTCCGATTGTGGGGCACCCAATTGTCGAGTTTTTTCACCTTCCCAATGCGTTCCAGACCATCTGCAACAGTGGATTTGCCAACGCCTAGCTCTTCTGCTATCTCTCGAACTGTTTGGGATGGGTCAGCCTCCAAAATCCCCCCTAAAATCCTCGTCAGATATTGCTTTAGGTCGACCGCTATGAGGTTCATCTTCAAGGCTGAAATCTCCAGAACGAACTTTGTAGAGCCGTTGCCGCACAGTGCTTTCTCTAGCACTATTGGGCCCCCACACCTGGTTAATTTGTTGAGCTGTTTCGATTGCGGATTGCCCCAATTTATAGTCGAAGAAAAAAATCGTCCGAAGTGCTTTTCACATGCTTGAAAAAATCTTTTAAAAAAGGGGGTTTTTTTTTACAAGCAATGGTGAAACGGCAATTATACCATCAGATAGCGCAAGAAATTCTCTACAGGATGTGCTACTGAGAAGCAAGGCAGAATGAGTTTTTAATCAGCAGTGAATGTACAAAAAATAGGTGCACAAAACGCTGAGAACTTTCCGGACAACCTAATAATAGAACAGAAAGAACAAGCTAACAACTAACGGAAACGAGATATAAGCTCTAGTAAAGCTGCTAAGTAGAACGCATTTGGTTAGCAAGAACATACAGGATAGTTTACAAGTTTGCCCTGTACGTTAGCAGCCCGTGAGGTCCCTTGGTGGCCCACCCAGCGAACTGCGCCCCGAAGTGAACTGCTACAGCTGGCCATTATTCAGGTCAATGTATGGTATTTACATATTCGAACGCTGCAAACGATTGGCGTGTGATGAGGTGTACAAGTAAGTCGCAGCTAAGGCAGCCTTCCCGCCAATCGTTGCAGACTCAGGATGGCATCATTGGTGGAAATAGCCGCCCTGGCCGCTGTCCAATCCATTCTCTGCCGTATGCCGATATCGGTTTGCAAGATCGTGACGCATCACATAGAGAAATACATCCCCAAAAATTCACACGATGACGGCCCAATGTGGGAATGGGCAAGAGCCGATGGCGATATCGTAAACGGTCCCTATGGACCCTGCCCCACCACAGCGCTGGAAGAGAAATTATGTAGGAAAAGGTGCAGGTATCATTTGTTCTTGTTTGTAAGAAGTGGTCCGCTTTTAACCCATGTTCCGCTCTCCTATTACATTTCTGTCTCTTCTGCACCCTCTGCGCTCTCATGCAATGGATGGGATCGCACCCAACCAGGTATCGCTGGTGATTTTGAAGAATATAGAAAAGGAAAAGGATACCAAACTGTGTGCTAGGCCTCCCTCTCCAATACTCTCAAAAGCCGTGTTGGGGGGGGATTCGCGGCGACTGGGCGGGGGGGGGAACAGAGATGCAGACAGGCGTAGCACGAGTGACGATGCTGTTAGAGATAACGCAGACAGCGGAGGACCCCCCCCTCACCCGTCGCCAATAGCGTCAAGACGGTCGTTCGAAGTTTGAAATTACCTGGAGCAACCCGACGCCAAGTACGTTTCATGTTGTGCCTGAAGCTGTGCATTTTACAAAATAGTCTTAAACCTTCACCGGCACAAACTATCTCCAGGCGGCGGTAAGACTTTTATTAAATATGACTTTCTGTATAAAGACGGAACCATTGAAATTCAGTAATTCTCAACGAGTTTAAATGTCGTGATTGGGAACGCAACAAATTTCAAGCATGACTAACATTGCTGGAAGAAAAAGATCTTCAACAGCGGCTAAAACCCGGCAGCAATGGAGCGATCAAAAAGCAAAACACATGAAATATGTCGGCAACCTAATAATAACAAAAATTAAATGTGTTTGGAGATCATGTGCTTGACCGTTCTGACTATGAATAAGCGTCTTTCGGGTTCGACGTGCTTATAGTATTTTTTTCCCACTATCTGCCTGCAAAATTGTACTGTCACAAAACCGTTAGTAAAAACTAACAGAAAAAGGCTGAATAAAAAGGAAAGCGGAAAGCCCCCCCCTGCACAATCTCCCGAGATTCTCTCTAACTTTCTATCGACTTGTCAGAGCTTTTTTCGGCTACGAAATTCCTACCACTTCTGCCTTTCTTCCCGAACAAAGTATCGTTGATAGGGCACATCACTGGTTGGGATTTTAGTCGAGTCCATACGACCTTTCTCCCTTCGGCCCTCTCTCCCTCCTCATCGAATCGAGCCGGTCGAGAGGGGGGGGGGGGGGAAGAGAGGGGGTAAAATAGCACATGTGAAAAAGAGAGAAAGCCGCGAGACAATACGACCCCCTCTACCAGTTCTCAGATTTTCCCCAACTTCCTGCCACTTTTTCCAAAATTCCCAAAAAATTCCCTTGTTTTTCCCATAAATTTTGGGCTGTAACGAGGCGATGGGGGGGGATACTACACATGAAACAGAAAACATGAAAAGTCAACCACACTGCTCCAATCAATCTAAAAGCCGAAAAGATTAACTAGCGACCTCCCTCCAAAATGAGCACAGTACGACGCCCTTTTCACAGCGTCCGTGATACGCGTCCGTGAAGCGAGAAAAATCAACTATCAAAATGACTTTTTCGGCCCAAATATGACCCTCCCCCTGTTCGGGATTCCCCAACAACGATGTTCCCTGATCGTCGAGCCGAGGGGGGGGAAGGTGTACAACAGTTCCATGAAACGGTAAAAACCAAGAAATGTCAACAAGTGGGAACTGCGCCCCACACTCCCCCCCCCCTCGCTGATGATCCCCAACTTACGATGCTCCCTCGGTGCCACATTCTAGGGGGAGAGCAGACCGAGAGCCAACGGCGGAAGCTTTATCCTTTTATTTTAGGCAAGAATATACACAAAAACGACACCCACTTGTTCGAATCCTCTGTTCTTGTAAAAGGTAAGAGCAGTTTCGTTGCTTGTTTGTACATGTAAAAATATGTTCTCAAGACCAGGATCTTTGGCCGTCAATGAGAACACGTAGTCGAGCAGCATGTTTCCGACACCGAGTTGCCGATATGGAGCCAAAGTACCGAGGGTCATGATGTATAGTGATCGTTTTCCTTCATACTCATCAATTCGACAGCACACAGCGCCAACCACAATGTCGTTCACGTAGGCCAACTTTGACATTTCACCATCGGCGACGACGTTCGCGTAGAATTTGGCATTATATGGAACGGGTAGAATGCACGAATTTAACGTGCGCAATTGTTTCACATTGTGCACGGTCACGTCGCCAAGTTCCATGTCGCAACGGCCAGCGATCCGTTTCTTCTTCTTGCCGCTGATTGTTAACGCGTTCATCTCGTCGATAGGTTCCACGGCCGGAGCCATTTTCTGGAAAAATACAAATTCAAGGAATAATGAAGCATATATGTATACCCCTATCCTGGAGATGGGAAGGGCGTGGCTGTGTAATTTATTTGAGCATGACGAACGATTTTGTGGGATACTGTATTGGAACAACTGTCATCATGTCGTGCGTTAAAGGCAAGTGACACGATAAATCCACAAGGCGTACGGAATAAATACGCCTAGCAGTAGTGTTCGGCACCCCTAAGCAGGCAACGCGTGGCGCCTCTTCCAGGGAGTTTTCTTCTAGCTCCCTGTCAAGCTGCAACATGCCGACCCATATGCCCATCGCGCCCTCCTGGTCACAAATGTCCGACCGATGCTGATGCTCGTATCGCTTCATTTGCGAAGTAGAACATGAAGCGAAGTGATTTACGAACCGGTTGCGATGCTGCACGTATATGGAAGTATATAGATGCAATTCTATCTACCGTAGCGATTATTGGCACGATGCCAACGGGAAACTCGTCCGAAACTGCTTTCTGAGTCGTGTAGAACAAAGGCTTTTTTGCAGGTTTTTGACCGTTTCACTTCGCTTTTCGCCATTTTCCCCACTATATAGCACCCTGCTACAGTTTCAGACCGAGTACAATTATCGTACCTTATGCCTCTGAAAAAAGCATGATTTCAATTGTCCCAAGACGGCAGTATTATTCCACCAATAGCGTAACCGCCGCCATACACAAATGAAGCACGCAGCCGGCCCTTCCCATCTCCGGGATATCAGGTTTAGCTTACCTAGATATGGACGTAAATCGAAGAAGAAAAAATTCGAATAGGTTCTGTGAGCAAAGAAACGTACTCCAGTGTGCTGTAAGCACCTATTCTATGCAGAAACCCTGATCCTGATTTCAAAAATCCATGGGATGGAATAACAGCTATTTGAAAGAGGTGGAAAAGCAGTACGATGACCCAATTTTGCACAAACCCACAAAACGACGAAAGTCTGTGAGCTAACGTCTGTGAGCTTTGTTTTCTTATTCTTATTATTTCTTATTTCTTCGGTTTTTACTCCAAAGCTGGAGGACATTTGTTGCTCAGAGAACCACGAAGCAAGGAATGCGTTGACTTATCTCAGAGGAGGGAGTTACAAAGTGAGTAAACCAATTCCCCGAGAAAAAGGAATCTTTAATCAAAAGTTGATGGGCACTAATTCCCTGAACGGTGGTAATGAAATGTTTTGGATGGCTGGCGGCTTTTTGATGCCTTGGGACTGAACTGCCGCTCTTAAACGAATTGGTACCTAGAATTTAATGAAGAAGAGAGATGAAAAAAACGCAACTAAAACCAAATACATTTCTCTCAAAGGTTTCATTCATGAATAACATTTGAAGCTGCCGACGAGCAAGGCGCCATTCTTTCGTACAGCTGCGGCTGCGTGCCATTGCGTACACTGCGGAGCTACAGTAACCTCACGCCTAGTTCCATTACTCGTTGGGGACGTAGCATCTTAATGAATTTTGGTGATTATGATTAAAGAGTGACATCTACGAGTATTTTTCAGTCCTAGACTCTTCCTGTGCAGTAGCCTCATGGGCGTTTTTGAGGAAGGAAGCGGTATCATTAACCGAAAGGTACCTCTAATTCACATAGGCGTAATTTACATTCGCATAAAGGGCTCCCACGGTTTCTCCACATTTGCGTAATTTACATAAAGGGATCAAACGCATTACGAAGTAAAAAAAATCAAAAGAAGCAAGTACAACAATACTAGTCTAATTCTTCCAAACATAACAGTTGTCCCTCTACAGAGGTCCCTCTTGAAAAAGTCACATAAAATGTAGTAAAGCATAGAGTGATGAGTGAGCTACATGAATATACATAGAGTACTCCCAACCCAAGGATTGCTCCCACGTTCCATATTGTTTGGGGAGCGTGGCAAGTCTCCGGTTTATCCAGCCGCACTTTCGCCTCTCGCCGTGATCATAATAGTCAGGTACTCGCCAAATCGCTGGTCTAGAAAGTGGGTTGAGCAAAACGGTAATAAAGAACCACAGTAACTTTACAGGACATGTTTACCGTTCCCAAGAAGAGATATACCGTTTCCGTGTTGATGGTGACCCGTCCTCTCGGCAGACTTGTAGGGCTTCCCATTGTTTGCGCCCCTGCGTAACTTGAAAATTTTTGCCGAGGATATATCATTTGTTGTTTTGTGAAAAGCTTTCTTATTCCAGTCCGCTCCACAAAAATAAGCAGCTGCAATCAATCATGGACTATGGCGCAATCGCAGTATGTACACGTATCTATCACACAACCGCTATCTTTTCACATATATTAACAGAATAACACATAGATTCCGCTATCCTGGCCCTTCGTGCTTTGATTTGGTGAGGAATAGTGACGAAGAGGAAGGTATCCAAACACCTGTATCCCACTGCGCTCAAGTATAGACGCATCTTCCACGAGATCTCTCCTCGACATTGAATAAAACTAGGCGTGAGGTTACTGTAGCTTCGCAGTGTACGCAATGGCCCGCGCCGCAGCTGTACGAAAGAATGGCGCCGACGAGCAACTGGTGTGTGGTCTGTGGCTCGTTTGCGGTGGATACCCCACAAATTACGGAGTCCCCAATCATTCTTGTCTTGAACTGGTAGGTCGAGCACCTAGTTCTAGAAGTTCACGTGTGTTCTTTATGATGGCTGCGTAGTGGAGAACCACTACTTGTGTTCTTTTTTACAGAGCCGATCCTGATCATCTGCAGAGTTCATGGGATGGAAAATTGGGCAATACAGTTAAACCCTAAATATACTAACGTGGGTAAAGAAGACGCGCAGAGGTTTTATCCTTATTCTGCTCCCAATGTTGTTCGTGGAAATCGGAAGGTATTCACAAGATCTCTGCATTTTATTACTGAGGGTTCAGTCAAATATCCGCTAAAATTGTGATATTTAGACGATTCGCACATTTGCAATCGATCCGGTGCTCAGCCACAATCTCCTTTTCCTAATTTTCATTATCTCGCTGGTAGCTACTCTACAAGCAATCCTAGCTGCCGGTAGTTACTCAGGTAAGATGATTTTCTTCTCGTTGCAGTATATTCGATCTGTGATGGTTGGGGTGTGCAATCGTATGAGTACGTTTATACTTTGTATCAGCGTTTTTAGCCTACAGCATTGTTTCGAGCGAGTGAGAAAGTATAGGTATTGATCGGGCCTTTCGAGCGTACGCCAGTGTTACCAGTGATTAGAAGTATAGGTTTCGATCCAGCGATCTATGCAAGTATTGGGTTGGAACATAAGTAATGGCGTTTTTTTCAATTGAAAATTTTGTTTTAAAAGTGAAATGTTTTGCAAGCAAGTTATATATCATCTGATAGGAAACTTCTCGTAGTATAAGAATATCAAAAAAGCTTTGGTTGAGGATATAGTTTTTGTGAATTTTTTAGTCGTTGAAGTTGGAAGTGAAGTCGGCGAAAATTAGCATCTTCGACAACTGCCTCTATTTAGAAATTTCATGCTAATAGTTGAATTAATTTGATATTTCTAATACTACGAGAAGTTTGCTATTAAACGATATTAAGCTTGCTTGCAAAACTTTTCACTTTTGAAACAAATTTTTCAATTGAAAAAAACGGCCATTACTTATTAGCCAGCCCACTAGCCACTAGCAGTGGGCTGGCTAATAGAGTCA